TGTCAAAACGTGCACAAACGAAACGACTGTCATTCCGCATTGGCGTACACTTTGCACTTTCATTTCTTCGGCTTTATCTTTTGCCAAACCGACTGGCAGTTGATCAAATTGTGCGCGATAACCGGTCCTCCCTTTCTCGCTATTGAGTTGGGTCTAGATGCATACCTAAACTGGGCGCATCCCTGTTGCCGGACAGAACTGCGTCAGACAGCAGCAAAGGGTAGTATCTCAAATCCCCTTCCCAAGCCTGCTGCTTTTGTAGACTCTTTACGCAGAATCGGGGCAAGTGTTTAAGCTGGAAAGCTTAATTTCTGTCATTTGGCCGTTCTGCAATCCAGCCTCTGTTTTCCACACCAACAGACCGATCGGGCGTAATGATGCATGTTGGGGCTATCGGCCAGTTTTTTTCGCCTATAACCGGCTGGGAGCCGTAGTCCGGGTAGCAAGTGGGGCTGTCCAAAATTGGAGCTAAACAAAACAGAGAATGGTGAGTGAATGGGGTTGGATGAGAGCAGAATCAGAAACGGAACCGACTGCTTAATGCCTCCTCCAGTTGGGAATGGGTTCGATCTCCCGAGCAAGCAGCCTAGCCTGACCGTGATTCATGTTGTCGCTATCATGGTCCATCTGAGTGGCCAACGTTACACGTCCGTCTGTGATTTTGGCCGACGTTAATCGACTCAACGGGTTGTGATGGCGAATGGTCGGGAATCTTTGATGTCGGCTTTTTACGTGTTCCCTCCGCGATGCCATGACATGGGCAGTTGTCACATTTCCCGTTCGTTCGACTACACCAAATGTAATGAGATGTATTCACCCAACTTCGTCTAAGGTGATGAAGGACTGGTAGTAGAATTTTCCCACAAATGATATGAGTTGAGCTCACGTTTCCATTGAATAAGAACAACTTTTGGCAAAGCAAGGCAATGTGAAATTGAATGGAAACGTCAGCTCAACTCATACCATTTGTGGGAAAATTCTTCTTCTACCAGTCCTTCATCAACTTACACGAAATAGGGTGAATACATCTCATTACATTGATTTAGTGGTAGTCTCGAAACCCTACATACTTACACCAAATGTAGTCAAGGGGATAATTTGAAAGTACTCGCTAGCATAGAGCATGGCCTCTTTTCTAGCCCGACATGTAGAAACTGGTTTCGTTATTCCTGCTTGGTGTGATGGTTGGGCTCCAAATGCTCATTAACATCCTTTTCCTCATGCTCGTCATTTTTATCCACATCTCCTTCTTCGTCCTCATTCTACTCATATTCGTATGCAAGTAGGGTTTCGAGACTACCAGTAAATCAGTCTAATGAGATGTATTCACCCTATTTC